TAGCCCGAGCCTGCAAAGATGAATTGAGGAAAGCCAAGGCTCAAAATGAACTAAGGCTTGCGACCAAAGTCAAAAATAACAAAAAAAGCTTCTTCCAACATGTAAAAAACAAGAAAAAAGTGAAGGAAATGATTGGTCCATTAGTGGGTGAAAGTGGCAAGAAGGTGACAAGCAACAGGGAGAAAGCAGAACTATTTAACTCGCTTTTTTGCATCTGTCTTTACACAAAGGGAAAAAACAGACCAACCTATCAAAAATAGTGCCGTAAAAAACAGAATAGAAACGCAAGTTAAGATAGGCAAGAAAATGGTAAGTGAGCACATGTCCAGCCTAGACGAGTTCAAATCGCCAGGACCAGATGGATTACACCCCAAGGTTCTCAAGGAACTGGCAGATCTAATCTCAGAACCACTGAACTATATTTTATAAAGATCCTGGAGCACAGGGGAACTACCGGAGGACTGGAAAAGAGCTGATGTAGTTCCCATCCTCAAAAAAGGGGAAAAAAATGGACCCAGGAAATTACAGACCTATCAGCCTGACCTCAATACCTGGGAAGATCCTGGAAAAGATAATCAAACAACGAATCACCGAACACCTAGAGGCAAACAAAGTCATTACTAAAAGCCAACATGGGTTTGTCAAAAATAGATCATGCCAGACAAATCTTACTGCATTCTTTGACCAAGTGACAAAATTAGTGGATGAGAGGAATGCTGTGGACATAATCTACTTGGACTTCAGTAAGGCATTTGATAAAGTAGATCACAACCTACTACTTGACAAGATAGAAAAATGTGGGGTAGACAGCATCACCACCAGATGGATCTGTAGCTGTCTGACCAGCTGTACTCAGCGAGTGGTCCTCAATGGAACCGCATCTACATGGAGGGAAGTGTGTAATGGGGTGCCCCAGGGCTCTGTTCTGGGCCCAGTGTCCTTCAACATCTTCATCAACGATTTGGATGAGGGGATAGATGGGGAACTCATCAAATTTGCAGACAACACCAAGCTGGCAGGAATAGCCAACACTCCAGAAGACAGGCTTAAGATACAGAAGGATCTGGACAGACTTGAACACTGGGCACTATCTAACAAAATGAAATTCAATGGTGAAAAAAGCAAGGTTCTACATTTAGGCAAGAAAAACCAAATG